TCTATATATATATATATATATATATATATATATATAATTACATCATGATTTATTATATTGAGAAATTATATTCTATAAAAGATGATGTTGTATAAATATTCTAATACATATTTTTAAACACAAAATAATATGTATTATAATTTAAAAATAAATATATTTTGAAATAATAAATCATGCACTTGCCTCTAGATGGCGCTTTAAGTACACATTTTAAACTAGCCTCCCACTTTATTTTTCTATTAATCTACAATATCAGTATGGATTTCTTGAGTTAAATTGTTATGGTTTAAAGTCTAATAACATTCATAAACAAAATTCTTTCTTCTGTCTCTCAAAATTAAGATCTGGATTTAAGAATGACTTAAATACCTCACGCCTTATCATGCTTGAAAACTGAGCAGAGTGCATAAAACAGAGGCTCACTCTTATTTTTTATATATTTTCCGAGACGACCAGTCCAATTTCAGATGTGCCATGTGTTTTGATCAATAATGGTAAGTCTAGATTGAACTTGGGGACATTCCAGACGTCATGTTATTAGTGGCCTGATAAATTTCTGGGTGTTAAAGGCTCTAAATTCAATCACTGACAAAGCAGAGGCAAAGTCGCTGACAAGCAGGAACCTGCTCTACAATAAGCCTTCAAAACTCCTGGTGTATGTAGTGATATTAAAGAAATATCTCTTAGAATAGGCTAATCGCTTTTTATTGCTTAAAACCAACCAAGGACAATCAAAACGGAATGCTTTTAAAAAGTGCATCAATAGAGCTGACCCTTAAGCTGTCCCTTGCTATCAGTAGAAGTCGTTTTAATATAAAGTACATCCTTGTAAAATTCAAGCGTTGTAAAAAGCATATTATTTGATGAAATTAGCTTTTAGGAAAAGCATCCGCTTTATTCAAAATCTTTTTACGTGTCTCAGACATTATAAATGATTAACAAGTTCCTGCTTTTTCAATGACCTTCTCATTTCTTTAAGTAATGCTGTATCTAAAAGTAGACTTCATTAGAAATAGTTTCCTGTTGTGGAAGTCAGGATTAAGATAGTGTCGTTTTATTATTATGCCAGATATTACAATAGCTAAGAAGTGTTTGATGGCTGTTCATTTACTTTTTACCAGCTGCACAGGATTTAAAATGTTTAATCTCCAAATTTAGGCATACATGTGTTTAGTAGGCATCATAAGAAACAAAGGTATGGAATCTACTGTAAAAAAACAATATGCACTATAAAATATATACCATATGATAAAATATCATTTAAACATATAAACAACCTTAGATTACAAATATTAGTTGGTATGTTTTGGACTATATGAGTAGCATATAAATCCGTGGATGTGACTTAATTAGTTAACTAATTAATTAGTTGTTCACACAGAACAACCTCCTTGACAGCAACCAGTCTGGTTTCAGAAGTGGACATTCAACCGAGACTGCCTTGCTCTCAGTTGTTGAAGCCCTAAGATTGACAAGAGCGGATTCCAAATCTTCAATACTTATTTTGCTGGATCTGTCCGCTGCTTTTGACACGGTTAACCACCAGATCCTCCTGTCAACCCTACTGGCAAAGGGCATCTCAGGAACCGCACTCCAGCGGTTTGAGTCTTACCTATCAGATAGGTCCTTCAAAGTATCTTGGAGAGGTGAGGTGTCCAAGTCGCAACATCTAACTACTGGGGTGCCTCAGGGCTCAGTTCTTCATGGCATCACTAGGTTCTGTCATTCAGAAACAT